TTCAGGGCACCTAATATCGTACGGAAAATTCAGTTACTGGAGCAGGTTTACTGGAATATATGCTTCTCACCTTCCAGCAGCAGCAGATATAAAAAATATTCAACAAAATTTTGCGAGGTACAACTGCATTTAGATATTAATACCATTTATGATTCGAAAATTATTACTTTTTTCACTTAGATGTCTTTATATTTCACAGGACCCGCGATAAGGACGAATGCGTTCAAGGAGCTGAAGATGCGTCACCAACGCATGGCACTATTAAAGACTTCTGTATACTTTTACTTATAATATTGTTTGAATAATTTTTGAAAACAAATTTTGTTGTATTGTTATTTCTTTTGTATGTCATGTATATGATTTATGTAAAATATTGAAATAAAGACTAAATCTTAATAATGTTTGTATGTTTGTATATACATATATACACGTATGGAGGGAAAATTTTTGTCAAAGCTGATTTTTTTCGGCGATATCATTGCTCAGCTGTGTTCGGCTAGACCGGCAAAAATGACGAAAATTCACAAGAAAACGAAGAGGGAATGACGAACACGTATACAACGTAAACATCAAATTTGTCATTTTGACCTTAAGAAAGTGATGGGAAAATCGTTCTACAAGCTGGCAGAATATGTCGTCATGCATTCTTGACATATGTTGGCTCAAATGATCGGAAGCCTTCTTGCAGGGTGTATTTAACTTTATTACTTTTTGCAGTTGCCGGATCGATGAACTCCAGCAGTCACATTAAAGTTGTAATATTACTGACGATTGCTTGCTGACTATTCTTCCTTATTAATATCATGTACCGTTACATTATATATTTGAATTCATATTATCAGAGGAATTTTTAAAAACAAAACACATCACATCCTCGCGTTTCTCAACTTTTCGTTTTATGGAGCTAATCGATCTGTGCACTGAGCGGCTCATATGAAACTTCAAATCTTTATCTTCTTACCTGGAGAAGTAAAGGAAGCATGCGTTTACAATGTTTCGAAATAAAAACTCTTTTCTGAACAATCAGCTGTATAAGCTAACATACTGAGGAACATGCTATATGGAAATAAAATAAAGAATCTTTGTACTGGAATCATTAAATAATAATACGAGTTCCATAGCGAGGACGGGGAGACACACACGAAGCATATAGAGAAGGAAGATGATGTTGGAGCAACCATCAACCAGGACTGAAGAAAAATCTTGGGTACGATTTCGCAAAAATTCAATGCTCAAGATGACCGCAAAATAAGGAAGCGCGTATTTCATCGCGGCTCATGCAGCTTCAAGAGACATTGACCAAACACTGCGATAAATTCTAAAACTGACATAATAAACTCGAGGGGCGGCAAGATAAAATAGAGGAACTAAGACCAAAGTCAACGAGTTGGAAGATCGTGGCCGAGATTTGAATTCAACTCGTCTAATCACGTCGATAAACTTTCCCCTGGCAAGAATTTGCTTGGGAGATAGAACGACTGGCTCATTTAGCCTATGAAGAAAACATTGGAGAATACCTAGAAAGGATAAAAATCCACAGACTCGCCAATAAAACGAGAGAGTTCTATACCAAGAGAGAGACATATGCGAATTCAAAGGCCACATTTGTTGAAACTGACCCATATGCTCATACACAGATTTGAACGAAACCGTGTGGAGGTGGAAAGCCTTGATGTGACGAAGAAGATGGTGAAAGCGCTGAAATTTCTCAAGAAGAAAATTTGTAGTGTTTGAAGAAAAAAAATTGTAGAAAATCAAGGAATTTCTAGCACAACTATACGACGTACTCCATTAGACTGGAAGGGTGGCGGAAACACAAAGCATCGGAACGAAAATACCTACGGAAATGGCCGAAAGACGTTTAGTACTCTGAAGGGGAAGCTGAGAGATACACCGCAATACGTTGGCAACAGGATCGAAGCGTTATAATTAAGGAGATCTGGTTTACATGTCTTATCTTAAAGGAAGAAAAGAATTGACTAGAGCTGGATTGCTTTGCCAGAAAGTATAAAACTATATATAAAGTTACATAGTGGCTCGACGACATGATGTGAATTGAGACCATTGGCAGATCTAGGAATCAAAAGAAGATGGTCCATTTGAACAGACTCGCAACGTTTGGTAAAAGTGTATCTGATAGGGTAGATCAGACTTTGGAGGAGAGAAGTGGAGCGAATATACCAAATAGGAATGTGAGGTAAGAAGGGTATCGTAAGAAAAGGCTAGAGATTTCCAGAACCAAGTATAAGCGAGCGAAGCGCTTGCATTTTCAGTTTAGTTTGGATCTGAGTTTTGACAATATCTACTGTACTTTAAGTGAACTGTGTGTTTATAGAAGAATACGCTGTGAGAAAATAGTAGATTATTAGAGTTGTAAAATGAGTCACCCTGTATAGTAAATCAAATTGGTATTTATTTAGTAATAAACTTTTATTTAATTGGATTCCAAAAGGGAAGGTCGTCATAAATTTCCAACAGGACTTTTTCGATTTTTTTATTCAAATTGTTAATTTATACGCAAAATTATTAAATCCGTGAGAAGTATTGTTCCAAAGTTATGAAAAAACCTTTTTCTTGAATAAACAATTGTACTTTCTTACTATCTTTTTGGAGATAAGAACACATACTGAAAAATTTACTATTTGTCATGCATATGCACTTAGAGTGAAACCTGCTCCTTCACGAAGTGAATATCTTCTTTTTTCTCTGCTTCCACCAGCGCACAGGGCTTAGTTGTTTTCATTTATATAAACGACTCGACATGCCGACGTAACCGCTGAACTAAGTCAAAGTTGTATTGTAGTAAACCTCATACAGGACGTCGATCCGTTGTCTACGATATTCATGGTTGCTAGCACACGAAGGATCATAAAACTTTCGCTTCGACTTTCTATCGAAGATTTCTTGGGTCAATAAAAAGGGTGTTGTCATTTCCACGCTAATTTTTTAATTATTCATTTGTTGTATTTTTATAGTAATTTTCTTTTATTTCTTTTATATCTTCTATTCCATTTTTTAATAGAATTAATTTGTTTGTTTTCTTTTTTTTAATTTTGTTTAATATTATTTTTTACTTATTAAACACAAAACATCCAAAAGTTACAGAAAATTAATTTAAATAATAAATTAAGCTAAATTTTCTAATTGCGGTCGCCTCTGGGCAGGGATAGTCAACCCGTCCGAGTGTACTTCAGACATGAAATAAACCTCCTCATAAAAAAAACCGTTAGGAGGCGGCTGAGTATAAACTGTAGGTGTAAACCACAAATTAGAGCAAGAACTCGGCCAAAAACCGCTTCAGCGGTTACAAAGCGCCAATTTTATATATATATATATACATGTTTTATTTAATTCTATTTGAGGCATTATTATCTTTAATTCTATTTTACTTTTCATTTCATTTAGTTTCATTTTATTAAATACTTATATTTATATTTTTGAATTTTATTTTTTATTTATTATTTTGAACTTTCATTTTCTTTTTTGTTTTTATATTCTTTAATTTAATTTTATTTAAGTTATTTCTTTTATTCAGTTTTATACAAGATATTTTTTATTATGTTACTTTACTTTATTCGATTTTTTTAACCCTATTTAAAGTATAATATTTCATTTTTTATTATTTATTTTTTTATTTACTTGCAAAAGTGTTAGAAGTCTTAATTTTCGAAAAAACCGCACGAATTAATGCATACACCTAATAGTTTGTGTTACTATATTTAATATTTTTAGGTTATCTTATTTTATTTGAAATATTTGTTTTTCATTTCAATTTAATTTAACTTACTTTTTTTATTTTATTTATTTTTATTTTTTTTATATATGTGTGTTTTTTTCATTTCTTTTACTCTATTTTTTATCTTAATATATTTTATTTTATATTTTGTAATTTAATTTATTATTAGATATTGATTATTGTTTTTTTGTATTGATATGTTTTTTATTCCTTTTTTTAATTTTATTCTATTTTAGTTTATTGTAAATATAATATTTCATTTATTTTATCGTTTATGATATTATTTAATTTTATTTTTTTATTTGACTTTAATTTCTTGTTTTTTGATTTTGTTTGTTTGTTAAATATTTTTATTCCATTTCATTTTATTATCCCTTATTTATTACTTATTTTAGGTATTTTTTTCCTAACATTAGTGCAATTTTATTTAAATTTATTTCATTTGGGTTTGTTTTACTCTATTCAATATTTTATATTTTATTTTATTTTAATTTTCTCTTTATTTTTCCTTTTTATTTAATTTTATTTCACATGATAACCTTGAATGGAAGCTAACTCGTGTTCTCTCTCGCCTATTACTCTTCGTGGCTAATGTAGTTAGCGGTCAAGCAGTGACCGCGGTCATTATGGCTGTGGAAAAGGGTGGCGACTAAAAATTACCATAAATCTCCTACGGCCACGCTATGTACGAAAAAGTTCTCATAGAGCACCATTTGACGATTAATCGACAGGTTTAACGAACACTTTTCAAATAAAAAGTACTAACAACACACACCTCGGCCAGTTTGCGTTGACATTTTGATGTAGAAACATCCACGGTTTGAAAGCACGTTGTGGTCATACGATTGTAAAAGTAAGGCATACGGTTAGGCGCATAAAGTACATATACGAGTATTGCCAACCCCTTGTTGCTTTTATTCAAACAAATACGGTTATTACGGTTATAACGAATGAAATGCTTAACTACTTGAACTCGAATAATAAGAAAATTAAAATACACAAATATACATACATAGCATGTGTTTGAGCTTAAAAATCTAAGTGAATCAAAGTAAAAGGGTCAAGAAAATTATGGCGCCTGATTTCACCATTTAATTGATGTTGTAATAAATACATATGTATATATATATATCTTACTAGTCTTTGAAAACGATTAAATATGAATCCAAGAATATTAATATTTAGAAAACTAAAATATTTATTATAAAATAAAAACTTGTTAAAACGAATATAAAAGGCGAAGTAGTAGGAGAATAGAAAAATTATGGTTACGCGAGCATCCAGTGTGCCCCACTTGAATAGCAGTGGAGGCAGCAGTAATGAAAGTGCCGCCGGCAGTGGTTCTAGTGGTCGCAAAAGTCGTCTGCCTAACTCTCGTACACGACGTACTGGCAAAAGTGTTACACCCACACAGGCGCGCAGTACGCCTGGCAGTATGCCACGTTCACGTAGCCTTACCCATGGTATGCAACGTGTGGCTCCTCAGAAATCCAGTAGCAGCTCCGGAGGTGTAGGCTCGAGGAATACTCCAGTTTTTTTACGTTCTCGAGAGAATGAGTAAGTATACATATCTATTATAACAATAATTTTATGAAACTAATTGCCGGCACTATAAATATTTTATATTAATTTGAGTTTTTATTTAAACAGCAGCACTCAGTATTACTCGCATATCTATGGATATACTCGTTTGTAGGTGTATACGAGTACACAAGCATGTGTACACTTGAAATGAATACTTATTATAAAACTATTTGATCTGAATAAATAATTTTCCAAACACTATTTTAGGAATATGTTTTTTCCCACTGTAATCAATATATAAACATTGCCGTCATATCATATACATATGTACATACACACTTACACGTATGTAAGGTAAAAATTGTGATGATAATAAAGTAAAGGCTTTTAAATTATTAAATACATATTTTCCTGACTTCGAGAGCTGCCGGGTTTAGAGAACAAAACCAAATAATAATCATAGAAAATCGTTCTATTGGTTTTCAAAATATTCTCCATTTGCATGAGTTCGAACAAATTGTTGACGCTCTTTTATCACTATGATTGCTATATCTTTAATATAGGTATAAATCAACTCAGGTGTCGAAAAATCGTAACGTCTCAGTTGATTTTTTACGTTTTTGAATAAAATAAAAAGATTCGGTGGCAAATCAGGACTACATACTCCTATATGATGGATGACTCATCAAATCGATGCTCGATCGAGGCTCGAAAATGCAATTGCTTTAGTGGATGTGTGAGAGCTCGCATTGTCTTGGTGGACAGTAATCCGTCTTCGGCGGTTGATTTTCCTAAATTCTTGCAAGGCAACTGCCATCATAATTTACAGTCCGGCGTTGTTCTAGTGGTACCGTTGCGACACGTACTGTTTTTCAAAACAAAAAAAATCAGGTAACCATTTGCATACAACCGATTGATGTTTATTTCCGGTCTCATACGCGTAAATCCTCAGGTGATTAACCGTTTAGAAGACGTGTTCCGGAGCTATCGTATTTTTATTTTTCTCGACCAAACAACATGAATTATTTTTTCATTAGCGATTGACAAATTCTTTGAGATCCAATGTGAATAAAGTTTTTAAAGTCAAATCTTCATGCATTATTGAATGTACATATGCTGGTACCACTAATGTCTACAGTCGTCGCAATCTCACTGTAGGTCATATGACGATAGTGTCCTGAACATCAAATGACTTTGGATGACCTTCATGAAATTTGGTTTCGAAAATAATTCCCTTTTTTATTCAGCTTTTTAAAATTGTAGTATTTCTGCTTTAATATTTTCGGTTTTCGGTTTGGTGGCTTCCAAATGTTCTATGTCGTTCTTATATCTATGAGAAAGTTCAGCACTCACAGAAATTCCGTCAAGGTCGACAATGTGTCAACGCCGAACAGAAAAATTACCTATTTATGCAGGCGAATGTCTATAGATACATTTCCTTGACCTATAATATCCTAATTCTTCTCCTGGCTTTTTTTTTAACGAGGAACCTAGCGTTACTCACCTCCCGCCAAAGCGACTGATAGGCGCGTCTGAGGGATAATCGCAAAATCCAAAAAACCGGTGACCGAATAGCAGTAACAGTCATAACTGCCCGGAACCCAAAACCGATCGTGGAAGGTCGCGGTTACACTTGTCTCTTACACTACACAGCTATAAATTTGTTCATCAGCTGCTATAAAAAGGCATGGGGAAAAATATAGGGTTTTTACTTAATTATTTAAATCATTCAGTAAGTAGGTTTTGATACAGAAAGGACAGTCACAGAAAACAATTTTGGGGAAATGTGTATTGAAATCGTTACTCAAAGATCTAAAAGAATCGTGCATTTCAAAGTTTGTTCTGCATGAACACAATGAAAGGGGACCAAGGTGTAAAAAATCTTAAAGGGGTAAAAGTTAAGCTCGTTAAGTAGGAATGGGCTATTGATAACACCTCTTATCAATTTAGTTAAAAATAAAACTCCAATCATCTTTCTACGATTATGGAGTGTGGGCAGATTAATGGGCCGTAAACGACGTTTGTAAGAAGGCAGGTTCTTGTTTGCAGTTCAAATTTCTTAACGCGAATAGTAGTTATTGCTTTTGAACAGATTCCAATTTACCACAAAACAATTGATAGTGTAAACTCCATACAACTGAGACATATCCCAAAATGGGCCTAACAAATGAGGTAAATAGTAATTTGGTAAGTTATGGGTCATTGAATTCCTTAGCCCAACGTTTAATGAAAGCTAAAACGACTTTTTTCTTATTAGCACAAGCATTTATATGATTTCTAAAATCTAGGTCAAGGTCCATTGTGGCACCTAAATCAATAAAGTCAGTAACTTATCCGACACTGTGATTATGTATCATACAGGTAAAGGATTGTAAAGATTTTCTGGGTGAACATATAAATTATCACTTATTTAAATTTGGAAATTGGACGGTCATTAATGAATATAAGGAAGAGAGGCCGAGGTGACTGCCTTGAGGAACACCAGATGTTACTGCTATTTTGTTTACGCCCAATCAAGTAATAGAATGAAATCCAAAGGGAAGGTGGAGACCCAAAAAATGAAGTAAAGAATGAGAGACCTTGTCAAATGCTTTGATGAAGTCAGTGTAGATCACATCTGTTTGATTACTATTTTTGAAACCATTACTGACTTGGCATCGGAAATTTTGGGGATAGAACACAACTTTGCTACCCCCCCATAATTCTCTATGGCAGATCAACTACCAGTTTTATGTAGAGATATTTACAATATATGACTCTTTCCACAAAGAATCGAATAGGGTTTGCTTTAATGAAGCATTGAATATGTTTGGTATTGGTACATATAGAGATTCAGCACAAAATTTTAGTAGTAGGGATATTATCCGGTCCGCATGTGAATGAGCTCTTAAGGGATATACATAAATGGGTAAATTAATATCTGCGGGGTTGAATTTGTGCTCGGCGCGTAATTAGATTCGAAAAAGTTTGCGAACATATCTACAATTTCGTAACAATCTCTAGAGACTTCATCATTCATTTTCATAGATTATGGAAACCCAAAAGTCTTTCTTTTCGAATCTACTTCGTTATGGAACAGTAAGATATGTATATGTGCTGATCTACGATCGAATTCATTTAAATTTCTAACAGATATTGAATTTTTTCCACTTCAAATTTGGAAAGAAATGGCGCTGATTTGATCAACGCCAACTATTTCGGTACCTAATATATTCCTCTGCGGCGAGCACATTTAATGAACATTCTCTGAAGACGTTGTTTTAGGTATAATTTAACAAATCGGTGCTACTCTACTGTTTTCATAACTAAAACTGCCTCCCTTGGACTTTTGAGTTGATCATGAGCACTATTAAGAATTACAAATTTTCCAACAACTTCAATTAAAGTTCTCATACTTTAGCCGAAAAGTTTTCGAGAATTCGTTGTTTGGAATTAATACATAGATCATCCATGGAACTTTTTTAGCAATCAAAAGTGAATCTAGTAATAGACAAATTTTAAAAATTAAAAACAAAAACACACACATTTTTTCTCTAATAATGTTATTTGAAGTTCTTTATTTTGTGGGAGCGCTCTTTGTGATTTTAGAGCAATGCTTAAAAATAAAATTTTTTCGTTTCGCTAATTTAAATTTTTTTTTTAATTATAACATTAAAATTCAATGACATTTTATGAATATTGCATGATGGAGTTAAATGCTCTTCTGAAGAAAGGTGGTGGGTCTCATTTATACACAAATGATAGTGATGTTAGTTACCAGGCATAGTATAACTAAAGAGCGCCTACACCGAATTAGGTGGTTTACATCAATGCCGATAAAAGTTCGAGAATTCAACCTATTCAAAATTATTTTTTTGGATTTACTTGAAATTTGGTACTTAAGTGGTTTTTCGACCAGGGACCGGCCTAGTTGAAATAAATTCTTATTAAAATTATTTTTATTGTTCAGCTCGGTTGAGTATTTTTACGAAGGTAAGCTATATAAATTATTGGTATCCATTTCACAGCGCAATCATGACCTCGCAAGTTTTTGACCTTTTTAAATTATTTTAATGACATCGGCCTAAAAACGCTTCTGCGGTTACAAAGCGCCAATTATATATTATATATATATAGTGGCAACAAGAGCTTAGGAATTTGATAAATACTATTCTAATTTTTAAATATAGTAGCACTTTTATTTCTCGGAACCAGTTTCCGGTAGAGTAGAGGTTGTTATATATATGCAATCGGCGCTTTGTAATCGTTGAACCGATTTCTGACCCAACACATAAAATTCTTTAATTCCGGAAAGGCTTGACTGCAGTTTTCATACCTTTATTTTCTTGGAAAAAATGTTAGAATCGAAAATAATCTGTGACAATATATGATACGCGATTCCATGAGTATGTAAAAAATAATTCAGCCGCTGAAATATTTGAACGCCAAACTTTTAAGGCACTTATGTACATATTATGTGTAGTTAAAACAAATCCATTTTGCATAAAATTGAATGGTTTAATTTTTTTTCTTATTCAGTCTTATTCAAATGGTTCCAAATAGTTTTTTGTGCAACCTTTAGCTGTCGGGCGATCGAAACAAAGCTTAGCAGGCCTATTCTGTCGAGTTAATAAAATTTACTTTAGAATTAAAATTTATCATTCAGTAAATTTAGTTACTATTTCGTATTCTGAGCGCACTGTCACCCTGTAATTTTGTTACCCGCGAATTAGGAGGTAGCAAAAAATCTGCTGTTTGATTTTATGTTGTTAGTTAGAGAAAAAATAACAAGCAAAATCTGTAGGTATATTTAACGTCTATGATTCATTGAAAATAAGAAAAATGAGGTGTAAAAAAAGTAACAAATTTTACTTTACCGGTAACAGTTAAAATAGGCCTAATGACGGTCGGACTCGACAAAGTCCATGATTTTTTCGACATTTTCGACAATTGGTCTCCCATTCCGCAAGCATCTTTTACATTAAAATTACCGGAATGAAATCGAAATTGTGCATGATTGACTGTAACCGTATCAGGATCATAAACGCCATTCA